GAACACTATCAGACAGTTTCTAAAATTTTCCTTATCCTGTTGCAAAAACACTTCAAAGAGAATCATAAACACAGTCCTTTGTGCTTTCAGCACATACTTTGTTTTGGAAGCTTAAGTCTGAATTCCCTCAGAATTGTAAATATTTTTTTTTCTGAAAGATGTGCAATACAGCTTTACTTTTTTTTTTTTTTACTTTTTTTTTTTTAAAGAGCTTGGTAGTGATTCTATTACACATAATGCTGAATCTTTTCTCCCATTTCTGACAGCTAAAATATTGAGGTCAAGGAAATTAATGACAAAAATGAAAAAGAAAAAAAGAAAAAGAAAACAACAACAACCCCAAAAATCCCCCCAGAAACCAAGTCTTCAGGATCAGGTTTTGTTGTTGTTCTTGCTGTTTAAGATAAAAGGTACATTTCCAGAAACATCTGATTCCTACTGTACATAAAATATAACCTTCTGAAATACATTTATTTCAATGATCTGGCCAAAACAGATCAGAAGAGCCCCCAAAAGACAAGAAATATGGCAAAAATTTGTTTTTTTGAGCTGCCATGTTGTGCCTATATTTCACAGCTCATTAGGCAAATACAATCACCCATCACCGCATGTTCCTCCAATAAAGGAGTGCGACACTGCAATATCTAAGCACAACGAGAAAGCTAAAAAAGACATTTAAATAATACCTCAGAATTTCTTGAATTTTGTCTGACAAGGTCAAGTCAATTCAAACATCAATTAAGTTGCTCTGCATTTTCTGAAAAAAGCTAAACCACCAGCCTGTCTGTGATCCCATTATCTATTTTTAAAAAATATAATTGGTTAGCTGTTTAAACTGTCAAAGTCTGCAAAAGGTAGGAGGATTCCTTTTAAAAGCATATTTTGTCCTATAGCTTTTCATGGTTATTCTGCAACTGAAATACTTTGATTTAAATACATATTTAAACCCTTGCTTTAATTTGGAAAAAAAAGAAAAAAGAAAAAAGAAATATATTATGGCCCTGGGCTGAGATTTTGTAGCTCAAATTTCAGCCTAGACTCAATTCTAACTGTCAGGCTGCAAGCCCCTGACAATAGGGGCTTACAGCAGAAACTATGACATACTTCATATGTAGCAATCATAGCAAATAATTAAATAGATCTCAAAAAGGAAAGAAAAATAATTTTACAAGAAAATAGCCTTGCTCTCTGATTTCAGTCTAGTTGTATAAACTGGTAAAAGCATACTATTGAGAATAGCAGTAATGACGTGACCAGAAAATACAGTTTTTAAAAAGTCTTACAAATCCAGATGAAAGTTGTGCAGAAAGATACCAGTTTGCATGAAATGCCACTATTTATCACGGCTACACAGAGTGCACACACTTCTGCTCTTACACTACATCTATAAATTAAAACGTGTGCTGCATTTCATTATCGTAAGCTGTATTTTAGGATGCCAAAAAAGTGAAACAAATAGTTTAACAATTACTTGTGTTTCAGTCATACCATTAAAAATCAGCTCTTCAAGATCTATGTTTCATTCCTGTAAGTAGACCAACGGTTATGCTGTTAAATATAACTCCAAATTAGTCATACTTTACGTTTTAGTTCTACAATTTTTTTCATCTTGCCAAATTCCTGCATAAATAGGTGGGATTAAATGGAGCCTAGCCTACCTAACATAATTATATATGTTGTGATTTTATACTGCAATGAAACTGATACATTTTAATAATCCCAGTCTTGGCTCTTACCCACCAAAGTCAATAAAGGTTTTTAAGGCCAACTGCCATATAAATACATTGCTACATTGCTAAATGGACTGTCAAAGCAGGAAATACAATTCACACCATATAGCACTACTGAGGTCTTCATTTTATTTTTTCTTTAAAGGAATACTAGATATGTTTAAAAAGTCTTTAAAGATTCAATATGTAAGTATTATCATATATGTTTAGCTTTCATTCCACAAACTAAAGTCATTCCATTGATTTACATTTTACTTATTCAAACGTGAATCAGCCTAAAACAAAATAAACACAAAAAAAGACTGTAGGACTTCTGCAGTTCTTACTGATTTGGCGTGGCGTTAAAAGGATTTTCATAGCTAAAATAAATGTCAGATTGCAAGGTTTGCATGATATCAGACCCTGAGAGACAAATTGTCTTTCCACTGAATCTCAGAACAGCTACAGCAAGACTTCCTCACATCACATGAGATTTCAGCTTTTCAGACTTCTCTTTACCCAGAAAGCAAAGCTTGTACAGTCTTTTTTCAAATGGTAACTCTCCCTTTGAATTCAGCAAGCATTTATCCTGATGTTGCAGACGATAACGTGTTAATCTTGGATGACTTTTAAAAAAAACCCCTCAAACATTTGAATAGCCTTCATATTTTCAAGGGAGGGGGAAAAAGAGAAGAAGATTGGTTAAACTGCTTTGGATTTAATGGTTCATAAATTCATGAGGTAATATTGTGGAAATGTGATGTTTTATCAGAATGTCATTCAAATGAAAGGTTTAACATTTACATCACAAGAGCAAGCTCTAAGTAAAACTATCCTCAGGGAAAGAAATGCCAGGAATAAACATTATGATAAAATTGTGTGCTTGCTATAACGTACAAAAATATTAAATAAAGCCCAAAGGTTTGAAGACACTGGGTTAAACTTCCTGCAGTTTCACGCTACTGTGCCAATGGAGTGATTACAATTAACAGAATCAGAAATTATTTTGGAAACTTTCTTTTCTTCTTTATAACTGCCTTACCAAACAAGGTAGGGTGTGTGGGGGGGAAAGGCACGCAGGGACCCCACGACTGATTTCTGTATCACTCTAGACACATAAATAAAAAACCGTGAGTCAAGAGTTGTTCAGCTCACACACAAAAGTAAGAAAAATACCTTGCTTAAGTATTTTCTTTTAACAAGTAATTATTTTTAAGCAACAATATCCTTCCGAGACAAGATCAACAATTCTAAGCCATTTTTATTTTTAGCATTTTGCAACAATTTTTTTTTTTAAATCATCCAGCTCAAATGATACATTTAGAGAAAAAACATCGACTGTAGACTACTGGGTACCTTCAGAAATATCTTTTTGATTTAACTTAATGCTGTGGAAGCTAAGCATGCACCAAAGCAGTGCACTTTTTATGTTAAATTGCTGTTGAATTTGTTAACCCACAATTGATTTCCTGTGTTATGGAATCTTAGAGATTACAGCTAACTTGAAGCAACAGGGATAATTCTTGATGTTAATGCTACATTTCTATGTATTTTATTAAGTCAGTGCCTGTTGTAGCATTAAAACTGCGGCCCAACATTGCCCCCTACTGTCACCTCGCTTTATCACTGAAGGAGAAAATGTAGGTTAAACCCCCCAAAAACCGACCCTACCTCCGAATCCCAAATACAGTAAGCATCAATTTACTTAGAGACTCCACAAAACAGACATTCTCAATTAACATTCTCTTCTGTCTCCTTCAATAGCTGAAATTAATCGTGATTAATATGTTATAAGTCATAAAACATTAAAGCCATTTTTAAAATTTAAATTAGAAGCAGCTTCTGTCTTGGCCCAACCTCCAGTTTGCTGATAAATATCATCCTGAGGCCTGCTGAAAGCAGATACACTGACGCCACCATGTTTCTAATTAGAGACACATGGTAATGTCACACCAATTGCAGAAAAGCTAACCCTTGAGAGTTCCCAAGTTTGCTGTTTTTCCATGTTCTCAACACACAATGGATATAAAATAACAATCAAACATTCTTGTCTCTACCTCATCTAAGCCTGTGTTACAAGAGAGTAAGTTGTCTTGAAAGAAAAACAAACCAAAAGACTTATTTTTTTTTTTATTATAAAGGTCATTCAAGAATGTGAGCACGTAAGAACACAAAAACGAGGAAAAACCTCCCACATAAACAAGTTATAAATGATTACTCTCCTTTTGCAGGGAAGTTTAATGTTCAATGATTCCTTGTGACAACTGCTTTTGCAAATGGAAGTTCCACTTTTCCCCACTTATTTTCCAAGTCTGAAACCAGCCATTGCTGCTGGAAAAGCTTACAATATGTTAGAGCAGGCTAGTGTCACAACAGGTTAGCAGTCACATTTCCCTCACAACTCAAAAGCATATTCTTGCTGCACCACACCTCCAGAGATTCAAAAACACCTCTTCTACAAATCACATTCAGTATCCTCAGCTACATCACAACCTTTTCCATGTCAGCTATGGGCAAATGGAAGCTCATGCCCTGACCAGCAGAAATGACCGAGAAGCAGCTTCTAAGGCAGATGTACAGATATGAGTGAGACACGTTTGCCAATACAGCTCCTTCTGCGGACAAAACCAGAAGCAGGCACACTGGCAACTGTATTGAACACTTCCACTAGCAAAGTCTCCCAGCGGAGTCTCTCCTTGGACAGCACAGCCAGCAGGCTAACAGTGCTGGTCCCTGTTAGAGTCCGTTTTCATGCAGAGCAGGGACGTACTATCAAGTACACAGGAAGCAACATCACCGCAATTATGCAGGAAACTCATCTTCTCTGGCTGGTTCTAGCCATGGTGTAAGTGTGCTGGTGGACTACACACAGACATCTGACTCAGCACCACCAGATTTTATTCTTAACTCTCCTCAGATGCATCCACCACTGTTGTCATTGGCACAATTGCCTATCTTGGTGTTGTACAAAACAGTTGACAATGCACAGTTTCATGTACTAACTGGTGTGATGTAATATATGACTGTCATCTTATAATGCTGTCAAACTTTAAGAATAACCAAAGTCTGGAAATAACTAAAACCTTGGTTTTTTGGATCAAAAATAATGCTCACATTTCTTCTGGCTACTGGGGAGAAAAATAAGAGGCAGTGGAAGGCTGACATTGACTCTAATTTTCATATGTTCTGAATAAAGTTTAAAATCCGTTACTACAGTACAATTAAAACCATAATTGTGAGTGTTCTCAGAATTAAGCTCCAGCGGCTTTAGGCTATAAAACTAGTACTTACCATAATCTCCATTTTTTTCCAAAATTCTTCCAATTTAGCCATAGGCTTAAGCCACCAATCAGTGCACTTCAAATAACGCTTGCCTTGAAACCAAAACTGCCTAAGCCACTCAAATTCAACCTGCAAGATAAAAACATATGGTAACATAAACATGTCTTCATTATTTGGGGTAGGAACAGGGATGCACGAATCCAGCTATATCTGAACAATCCCAAAGAAAAGGAGGTTACCAAAGTACTCATTTCTAAATGCACCCTACATCTTGTTGTTTATTTTATTTGTTTCACATGAATTTGTGATCTGAGCTATTCCCTTCAAGCCTAGAGAGGTGCAAAATGCAGTTCTTTTCTTTACATGTAGTACATATACAAAGAACACTAAAAGTTCAGGTTTACTCACAATTCAGTCAAATATGTACCAACTCTGTCTTACTTTAACATTGTGGGTTTGAAAATATTTCAGTCATATAAAAGATTGAAAAAACCTGCAGTAATAAAATTGCTAGAATGCATCCGAGTCATTTGCTATGGAATGAGAGCGCAGCATTATAAGAAAACATAGTTTCTCTTACTTTAACAAATAATCTAGTTTCCAGATAGGCTACCAATATCTTTTGGATTCACTGGATCTCAACAGGAGACATGAAAGTGCTCTACTCAGGCAGACCTGCATGGGAGAGAGGGGGTGTCCCGAAACCCCTCCTGCTCCCTCTGCTGATCTGCTGTTGCATCAGAACCCTCTATCACTGAACACCCACATACCAGGAGTGAAAAAGGTTTTCAGGGCATCTGAAGTAACAGACCCTAATTGTTTCTCTAGGACAAAGCTTGTGTGGAAACTGCACTTTACAAAGAAAACAAATCCCCCACCAAAAGTAATAAAAACTCCATCAGGAGCAAGCTAATACTTTTATTTAGAATGTGAAACACAGCAAATGATGTAATACTTCACTAGTTGGATTTAAAAAAAAATAAATCCATATATGGATGGACCATCAACTTTAAGACGAGAGACACACTAGCTTACTAAAACATAATATAAATATATAACTTATCAATTATTCTTTAAACAAAACAATTCCATTTATCCTATTTCCACTGAGCCTTTTTTCCTTTAATAGTAATCCATAGTCCTAGTCTTTAGAATTCTGTATTTATCTTTGTTGTGGTAGTTATGTTTCACATCGAGTTCAAAGCTGCTTTTATCATTATTTGTACCACAAAGAAGTTTTTGTTTATCCCTGCTCAGCTCCAATGATGCAAACAAAGACAACCTGCCAAGGTGAAAGAATAAAGAAAACTGCCCAAAGCTGACACCTAATGCTTTCCTTCCTGCAAGAGCAAACAGAATGGCTACAGAAATCTGAAAGTGTTTTAGTTAACATTAACTAAATGTTTGGTCAATATATGTTAAAGATTACAATAAAAGATACTTAAATTTGAAATGTACAAAGGGAATATTAAAGCAACTTTGTTGGTAAAATATAACAACATGATTAGCTGGCAGACACAGATCTTAAAATATTTTTTAAAAACCCCAACTGATAGCCCAGTGACTTTTTCCATGCAGAAGTTTGGTAACATCCTTCCTAAAAAAAGATGAAGGGAAGTTTGCTTCCTGTATAGTAGTAACAGGTATGAAGGAGTTTGGTTTGTTAAAGTTATGATTTGTTAAAAAAAAATATTAAAAAAACAGTATATACAAAGTTTTGGGAAGACTGAGTATATTTACAGTTCAACCAGAGCTTTAAGTACTCCATACTTTTTTCTCCTTCCACTTCTGTTTGGTTTTGCTGGCCTCTACCAGAAAAGAGCTAGAACACATTATGTCTGGCAAACACAAATCGATGTCAGGCCGTTAATCAATGAAAAAAATATTTTAAAAAATTAAAATCAATGTTACAATATGGCTTATCAGGACAAGAATTTATTTCAGTCAATCTGATTTTTGACTAGTCCTATTGATTTGTTACATTTCAGTCTAATTTAAGTCTATCATCTTGATCCTCTACAGAATCTACAACTTGACAAAGCAGAGCTGTTTTTTAGGCGCAAGAGGTAAAGTTTAGCAAGAGGCTAGTTAATTTTCTTCAGGATTAGCTGGTCTCACCAGAAGTGAGTGTACCCAATTGCAACGTGTGGCTGTTTAATGATGTGGACCACCTTTCGCTAGGGCTCTCAAACTCAGGTCTGCATTAACCTCACAATGTTTTGGTTTAGCTCTAAACTGAGTTAATAAAATGGGAGTTGGGGAGGAAAATAATGTTTCACCCATCAACCTAGCCATCAAGCTGCTTGACAACTGACTGCTCTGAACAGATAACTGCTGATTCTGGGGGGGGTGGGGAAAATCATCTTGATGAGGCAACAGTGACATGATTTCTCTTTCACTCTGACCTTGTTTTAGATATATGCAAGCATAAACACTTACTTTTGCTAAAAATCTCCAGAGATTCCAGTTATGCTAAGTTTGTTTGGTGTTTTTAATTCACACATGAACACTTTTTACACCACATCCGTTACTAAATGCATATTTTAAGAAGATATGCTATCTGCTTCCCAAGTTCTCTTAAAAGCTCTCTGTCCCCGTGCTTTCATTGAACCCTATTCAGTAATCACTTTCCCTGTAGCAGAAAGGCACTCTTATTGGCTTTTCTCCTTCCCCCTCCTTCCACGAACAGGAAGAACTGTACCAGAAAACAAAACAAAACAAAAAAACCCCTACAACAGTAAATACTGGAGAGAGACCAAAAGCTCAATTCTAGCTTTAGTGGAACTGTAGTTACAGAACATTCTTCTGTGACAAAACTCTCAGGTTAACAGCTCTTGCCAAGGATTTTGCCAAAGAGTTTTAATTTGGAGACTCCTGTATATCAGAGATAACTTTAGTTATCATTAGAAAGCATTTTACATGACTGAACAGGACAAAGCCTAAACACATTAACATATAAAAATATATAAACACTGAGTGTTTTAGGAACAATTTTCATCTAATTAATTTTCGCTTATGACTCACATCTGTGTAAATAAGCTCAGAATCAGGCCTCATATGTCTAACCTCAACATATTTTCAAGTTCTCCTTTAAACAATGATTAAAGGCCAATTTTAGATTATAGTCAATACTGGGTAGTAAAAGGCCAACAGTAGCATTTGACATTTTGTGAGGCAGTGCTCCTCAGTCAATTATTTAAAAGTAGTAGTTATTAAATGCCACACATGTAGGTGATCTATATTTTCTCTCTTCCGTACTAACCAGCCACCAACCATGCTGTCAGCTCACCGTGATGTGCTAAAACATATTAACCTTCCTTCGGCTGCGTACACCTCTACCCTTTCTCAGCAGTGACCTCAGTGTCTAACACCACATACCTTCATCTGAGCCAGCTCAGGCTTTTCTACATCACTGTGCATTCATCACACCAAATTTATCTACTGCTACCATAAAAACAGATTTGCTGTAGGCAAAAGTGAGTACCTCACAAGCAACAGAGCAACCAATTCAGTCAGAAGTTCTAATCACAGTAATCAGGATTTGATAATCATGGCTGAGCAAAAACCCTGATGAAGACAAAACCCTACCTTTTCAAACCTGAGTACTTTGAAACCTGCTGCATTTTCAACACAATCCCCAGATGTTAAAAAACTTCCTCTAGTGTTTTACTTCATAGAGAACATCCGATTATTACTTCGGTGTTGGTAAATAAAGAACATGAACTACTATTGGATTTTATATTACTCAGAGCAAGGAAAACAAATTTTCTTTGAAATGTGAAGAATAGGCTGACGATGATCTTTTCTGCAGATTTATTTTTATATGTATGAGCATTTACATCATCTGTCCAGCAGTGTTTTATTACTTCAAAAAGCATTTCCTCAACAGTATGTATCCCCAGTCCCCCGTAGCTCTGTTTGGGACATACTCAGTAGCTGTATATATTTTGGAAAGCCAAGTGTGATTCAGTCGGGGCAAGAAGTTCACATTCGGTGAACTCTGCAAGATCATTTATTTCAGGATAAATTATCACTGGCCAAACAGCAATCTGTCTGCTTAAAGGGGTAACTTCATTCAATCTCTAACACTGTGTGTGCACTGATAGGCTATTGTACTTCACAGCTGTCCAGCTAATTACTCCGGTTCACCCTGCTACACCCTGTTCACCAGATACCTGCCAATGAAGTATTTGTTCAGACTCCAAGCACATAAACTACTCAAACAAGCAGCACATGAATACCCTTAATTAAGGTTATCTTTACTTACAACTACAAAGTACCTACTGGGAGTGAAGTGACTCACACATCTAACAAACAGCACATACCTTGCAATTACTCAGATATTCCTTTGAAGGCTGTTTTAGTGAGGGAGACCACGACAACAAAGCGAAGTCTAAAGAAACATTAAACCTCTACCTGGCTGCCCGCTAGAGATGCTAAAAACGTCCTCAGGTTTGCATCTTAGTTTTGCAACAGGAAAACCTCCATCAAGACATCCAAGACAGGGCTCTGACAAATGAATTCTTGGAAATGTAACATCAGTAAAGACATCCCCCAGATACTCACCCATACCTCTTTTAGAGGTTTCTCTGCCCACCACAAAAATGGGAAAAAAAAAATAAGCCTCCACCTGTGCTTCAGATCTTCAGTTCAAACCCACTTTATCAGCACAGTAAGCCAATTTTCCTGCCCAGGAATACAAAAGTGAAGGCACAGAGTCATACCTCATTCTTTCAGACTTGCTCTTAGGCTTTTTCCCTCTAGCAGCCACAGATAATTCATCCAGACTTCATTTGGCAGAGCAGTTAATTTCAGCCCAGACTGTGAATCTGTGCTAAACTACTATATTTTAGCTTAGTCACACATAGCCTGATGGTACTGTGATGGTGCTGTTCCAGTTAATGATCTCTGATGACCACTTCAGAGATGTCAGTAAAAAGGGTAAAAAAAAACAAACCTGTAGCATTTCAGGAAGATAAAGGATCTAGAACAATGGCTGCATCTAATTATCTGAGTTAAACCCCATCAACTTCAGTCATGATAATACTTGAAAGTAAAATACAACCATACCATCTCCTCTAGAGATGGTAACTCTATCTAATTTCAATCTCATGATCTCTGGTCCAGAAGAACATAAAAAAAAATTCACAAGGAGGTTTAGAACTGGCACAGAAAACTGTGTATCAGAACAGAAATACATCAGCAAAATTGGGTTGCAGCTCTTCATTAATTCTGTGTTTGGCTTTTTGTGCAATTTTGTCCTTTGTATTTAAAAATACTAAAAAACTAAGGAAAAAAAGAAAAAAAATAATCACCAAATCCTGACCACACTGATCAAATGGAAGACTCATTTTCATCAGTAAACAGTCTGATTCTTTAATGAAACAAAACATGTTCTTGTTCTTTACTTGCCTGAGAAAATTTGAACTTAAAACTTGCATTAGTGCCTGAAAATATGAAGATCATACAGTGAGTAAAAGAAGGTGGGAAGCTTTCACATGGAAAAAAGTTGAATTAGTGTCACAGATCCATACGTTTTCACTTCAGTGATGTTCAAAAAAGAAGTGTGCATTTACCACAGTGCTAAGCCACTAGTAATTTTATTTACGTGTGCAGCAAATAAATGAAATCTAAATAGCACTTTAACATACAGAATTTATGCTTCAAGTGAAGAGGTGACCTTGGTGGAAAAAAAGAATTTGGAAAAAAAAAAAGAGGTGAATGGGTATTCTCTTTTCAAATGAAATATAGATCCAATGTGTCTGCTAAGTCTAAGTGCACAATATGCACAAGTTTAACAATGATTTCTGTTGCAGTATATCCCATATGTGTAACAGGAAACATCCCTGTATGTCACACAGCAAAATTATTCAGGTGACTGCAAACACCGGGGGCTAGTCTCTCACCTGATGTAAACGGCACATGTCTTTGATGTTAAAGGACCCGTGCAAATTTACACCAGCTGTGCATGTGGCCCTAGCTGTGCAAACCACATATGCGTATGGTTTTATGGACTGAGCCTGATTAATGTTTTATAAAACCCTACATGCATCAGACTTCCTTAAATTGCACTAGGAGCTGTTTTGCTAAAAGTCAAGGGTACGAATCTTTTGCCATCACTGTACTCAATGTTACCAACTGTAAACACAATACAGATAAACACATGTTCTATGAAGTTTTAGTAACAATACACAATATTCTATTTCTCAGCAAACAGCAATTTAAACAGTTTACATGAATTCTAATTTGAGTGAAAATTACCTGTGTACTACACAGCTCTTAATAGTGATCATACTTATCTTAGAAATACAAAACAGCTCCTTCAAAATGTCTGAATACAGGAGTGCTGTAAAAAAACACTGGTATGTAAGCAAGAACTAGTTCAGAACTTTCTATTAACTGGTTGTTATAGCCATTTTTAAAGACAGATGATCATCAGTGCTTTACAGTTAGGAACAGCTAAAAGCTTTGTTTCAGGTAGAACGACAGCTTTTCCACAGCAGCTAAACAAGCTGTCATTTTAAACTCTCAATACATAGCTTCGACTACATTTTCTGTAACTTTAAAAAAGAAAGAAAAAAAAAGAAGCCTTAAATTTACTATCTTCAGAACTCTTCACTACTCTTATTAGACCCAGCCCATTGTGTCACATTCCTGACCCTATCCACTAACAGAGAATAAGCCAAATTACACTTCTTGTGACACTGCTTACCTTTTATACCACAGGAAAAATTACCTGTTTCCACAGCTTCCCAAAATACTGTCTGATATTTTCAGTTTGTTTGTCAAATCAATGTGTTTTACTAGTAAGACTCCAGATCTGTACTTCAAACAAAAAAGCACTGTCAGATTCAGTGGAATCCTGTGAAAGTGCACTGTTACACCTGCATATTTTGTAGCACAGAATGACCTATTTAAATATGTTCCTCACAATTATTTCCACTGTATTTTCTTCAGAATATACTTTAAAGCATATACACACAACTGTTCCACACCTGGCATTCTGTAAAAACCTGGTTCAACACGTGACAAACAACTGAAAATTTTACCTGCTTTTCCCTCTAATTTTTTTTGTCCTCTCTCTTTTTGTTGAGAGAAGTGCTGGAGCAGTTTGGTTTCTCCACCACACTATCAGATTTGGTGTAGTCTTAGTGACACTTCTCTTTCACTCTACCAGCAGAGGGATCATAAGGAGGAAAAATGAAAACTTCATGGAAATGAAAATATCATGAAAATATCAATCCAAGTTAACTCCAACTACTGCACATACGTAAAAAAAAAAAAAACCAAAAAAACATAAACAACATATTTCAAACTTATACAGAGCAATGCCTTGGGAGCAGCTGAACACACATTTAATTGCTATTAACTCCATGAGCAGACTGCACCTCAGAATCTGGCTGAAGTATTGTCAGTACAGATCATCTCACCTCATTATGTATTTCTTCTACTTGCTTTACAACTGCAGTTTCCAGTGATTTCAAAGATAAAGCCATTGAATCAGAATCAGTCTGTAAATTCTGGAGTGCCAGTTCACATTGTCTGAATATATATTCCAATGTTCCTCTTGAACACTGCAAAGATACAATAAAACATTTCTATATAGCCACTCAGAACATATGTATTTCTCAAATATACAGAACTGTTTGCTTCTGAAATAATCAAAGTGAAGGAGCAGAAGGGATGTATTTCTCTAACTTTATTTCATGATCTTTTAATCAAAAGCATAATGCCTCCTGCATTGTCTATTATGGTTACTGATATAAATTATGCAAAAGTCTAATTCATCAAACATCTAGCCAACCAGTACGGCATAGACTGAAAGGAGAAAGAAAATAATTCCTTTTAAATTTACTTTAAAAATCTGGCATACAAAAACATGGCCATACTTCCCACTGCTTCCTGACCAGTTTTTGACAGTATTTCAGAATCAGTTGTATTTGCCAAGTTGTATGGGCTTCCAGTAACATTAAAATGGAGTCCCATATCCAGTCTGAGAGAGCTGCTTGCTAACAAGGTATAGAGAATATGAGCAACAGAAATTTGCACTAATGCTCCTTTTATTTTGTTTTCATTAAATCTCCTTCAAAATAAGAAGGAAATCTGATGAAAAATACAGAAGAATTTGTTTTAAAATGTATAGTGTACTTTAACTTTATGTCAAATCCTAGTTCAAGTAAGTAGAGTGTATAGTTGGGAAATACAGGCACTTTTTTTTAATACTGCAGTTTATATGAATGTATATGTCCATCTTTGGTTGCTCTTACTTAACTTCCACTCCTGCAGAATTTAGGAAGAGTAATGGAGAAAAAAAAGGAATTATATGAACACACAGTTCTGGATAAGACAACATGATGTTACATACACAGCACCAGAATATTAGTTTTACAAATGACCAAACAGTTATCCATTTTTGATACTTACCTCTGCCACTCTGTGAGTTGAGCTGAATCGAGGTGAAAAACCAGCCAGAACACAATGCTGATGTGTCATATTGAGATCATCTAGGGATAAATTAGAAAACCTTAAGTACAGGGAAAAATTATACTTAACAAAACTTATTTTCACTGAATATGAATTAAAGACACTACATTAATTATTTAATAACAACAAAAAATAGAATTCAGTCTGGTAGTATCTTCTTAGAGCTCAAATGTTCAGCAGAGCATGATAACTATTCACTGTCCTAGTGCTACAAAGATCTCTATTCATATTCATTTTCTCCCACTTTACACAATTTAGAAGTGGCATTTTCTCACCACTTATGGGAAAAGTTAAACTAAAAAAATATTTCAAAGTTGAGGATCACTATAAACAACAGATTACTCAGAAATTACAATCTCTCTTCTCAAAAATCACTAAACAATACTGATATTTCTTGAAAAAAAGAAACAAAGAAAGAAAAAAGACAAAGACATAATTTAATCTTTTTATTTGAAACTTATCTGAAGATGTCTCTTAAGATCAGAGTCAAGAAAACAGGAACCCAGAAAGTACAATCTGTTCAAGGACCTGTCTCCAAAGCATTTCATTTGTGACTTTCTCGTAGCCTGTCAGAGGGTCGTCATGGACTTGAGTTCACAAACTGGCAAACAACCAACCCCACAAACCTCTATCAAAAGAATCTACTTGGTTGCCATCAGTTTCATCAAAATTACCATAAATGAATTCTGACAAATAAGCACTTTTTAGAGGAAACTTATTCCTCTGCAAAAGTTCAGACCAAACCTAGTAACAATACCAACTGTTACATTGAAAAAAAATCACTAAGTGCGTTCAAATCAAACAGTTTTGGTGTTAAAATTATTTTGTCCTCTCAGTCTTAATGAGACATTTGGAAAAATCTAACAAAAATTCCTGTAAAATCACTCCTGGGTTATATTTTGGCAAGTTAGTAAAAAGAGACTGAAAAAATCATACAAAACTAGGTGACCTGAAGTATCACCAAGCAAAATCCTGTCATAGACAAAATTAGAAGAGAGCAGGAATAGAGACCTATAAAATGCTAGTTAACATGGAGTCTGTTTTTAAACAAATACCTATTCTTTCAGGGAACTTAGCTTCAGTCATCTTAATACAGCATGATGAGAAATTATCAAGCTTCATCCTTCCACCACATAAATATAATTTCTCTTTAAGAGATCAATATTTGCACACCTGAAACCTGATATCCCAAATTCCTACTAATTTTTGAAAATGCTCTTCTGACCATAACAATTATCAGACTGAAAAGAACACAGCCGGTAAGGTTTAATGATATTCTCTTTACTACTGAAAAAAGATCTGCTCTAAAACTTTTATCTTACGTTGCAACAAGCCTGAAACTTTAAAATTGAGAAATGTCTACTGAATAAGAACTCAGAAAAATTACTGAATTTATCCTAGTTGTAAGAACAGTGTATTCATTTTATGAATTTTATAAGCAACTATTGATACAGATAGTAGCACAAACTTGAAAAAAATAAAAATAAGAAAAAAACCTATATAAGGAATAGACAGACAAGTATTATAAACTATTTTGAAAAAACGCTCCAAATCAAACAAAAAGAACATAGGAAAAAGCAACTTCCTACACAAACACATGAGGGTTAAATTGCATAGAGCCAAGACTTGCAAGGGCCACAGAACAATATTATACCTGGACATTGCAATATTTCAATATCACAATCACTTTCAAGAACTGTGACAGAAAACAAACCTAAATACTTCCACCACCCCATCTAGTGCCCATTCTTTGTGGTGTCTTTTATGTAGCAAACAGAACATCTGAAGTATTACATTTTGATTTGCACCTTTATTCAAACCGCTGGTAAATCTTTCATTGCAGAGCTCCCCCTTGAAATTTCTTCCAACTGTCTCTAATCCTTTATGACTCTTAGAAAGAAGCCTGTAATTTTAATTTAAGAGTTTATAATTCATCTAAAACTGTAATTGTATAAAAATAGTTGAAGCTTCATGGATGGCACGTCTCAAAGGATATTTGAAAAATATCTTCTAGGCCTTAAAAGATTACAGTACAGATTTGCTTTTCTTTTTCTTCTAAGTATATATTAATTGAAAAGAAAAAGCACTCTCTGTTAAATTGGCCATTGTACATTTGGCAGCAAAAGCTTTTATTCAGATACAGAACACTATTTTGGTTTTAGAGCCAAGCCAAAGCTGTTATCTTCCATGGGCTCCCATGTCAAAGCTACCACAGCGCTCTCTTGGCTTTAGGTAAAATACAATTCATAGGCAGTTAACATCAGTTTTACATAACTAAACCTTGATTGGGGAGGTTTGGAAAGCCAAAACACAGTCTCTCCAGTATTATGTATCACATTAAATACAGGCATATAAAAAGTAGGCACATACGTATCGGTCCTGCCCTGGAAAACTGCACCCAGGGGAGGCTCTGTCAGGCCGAGCTCCCGCAGCTGTGTGCGGTAAGAGCCAAGATGGCTCCTTCCCCTCACGAACAGCAGCCTCTACTCCTCCGCCAGCTCCGGACAACTACGGCAGGGACACCTCATTACAAAAACAAAACCCCACAAAACTTACGTGAACTGTAAAATGTATATGAGAACTGACTTTTTAACTCGTCATTAAGACCAACTTAGCAATGTATTTAGTACAGTTTCCAAGAACTGTCACGCAATCCCTCCTCCTTCTTCAAAGAGCTTTGCCCTCCGTATGGATGCTGACGAGATTCAAATGCCAACTAACTGCTAGCTAAGAAGTTTTGAGAACTGGACCACTATTTTCCGCTTACATGACTCTTCCTTTCTCAAAGCTTTCCCACATCTATGAAAAGTAGTTACTTGCACAGACTGTTTTTCTGAAGTCTGATCAGGCTTTTTGCTTGTTTATAAATTTAAAAACACTACACATTATCCAAATTTTAAAAAATAATTCTATAAAGCAACCAAGAAATACTAATGAAGTCAAATAGCTGCTAGAGTGCTAGCCTGACCAAAGAGCATTTTCTCAAGCAAAGCCTAGCCACACACACTACAGTTATTCATATTTACCTGTATTAACAGGATACCATTGTGCCACCAGTCACTGTGCAAATGTGGATGATTACTTGCACTTCAGGCAGTATAATGCCTAAATCAGTTTCCCCAGACTACTGAAAATATTGTAAAGGGCTTGTTTGCATTCAAAGGAACACAACTTGGTGGGTAACAGACACTTGGTGTTTAAATGCTGGAAAAAATAACTATTTTTCTGTCTGAGTTGGAGCACCTAAGAAACAAGGAGACTATTTCCTGCACAAATACATATGGCAAAATCCGTATTTCTTTTAAATGGACTGCTTTATAATTTTATTTCTACTACTTTCTGCCCTCCACTTCCCAATGAATCACCTGCCACCTTACGGCCAGATCCTATTATAGGACTACTACAGCTGAGGCGAGATTTATTAAAAGAAATTAATCACATGTATGATTGTGTACAGGTGGCCAAAGCCACCTTGGAAAACAAAGTTATCAACTTGAAGTCTGTTTAAGTAATCTGGAGGTCAGATTTTTACTTTACAGATGAAGTTCTAAGAAGTCACAACAAGTTAAGCAGATGATCTGATCAGTTGCAAATTCATACAATTATTTGACACATAATATCCAGCTACAGAAACTTCAGATAATACGTCTTGCGTAAAACAGTTACAAAATGGATTTTTTATTTAATATAGATCCCTATTGTGCACACCTGCAGGTAAAAGGAAAAAAAAAACCAAACAAACCAAACAACAAAACCAAATAACACAAACCCATCTAAGGCATTTGGTGCTTTAATACATTCACTCATGCAAAGCCTCTGTAAAGTTTGGTAACCAACACACAAAAACCTAAGGGTAAGGAGAGGTTAAAGGACTTGCCATAGTTTGCATGGAAATTCTGTGAGAGAAGCAGGCTTACAGCTCCTAAAACTAATGCTTTAACACCCAACCATTCTACCGTCAGATGCAGACTGTTACTGTCTGTGTGGGTCTCCTCATCAGACAAGCTTCTTGGTGATCTTCCTGCTATTTACAGACAGCAGATCCATTTTGTGATTTGAATGTTGCATATTCTATTTTAAATTGTTCATATCATAGATCTTTCTCTCCTTTCCACTGCCATCCTGTTCTTTTCTCAAATACATCCCTCCCGGCACAGAATCTCAGCACAGTCTTCTCCACTGCTTGAAACTATTGCCAGTTCCTCTCTTTTCTCTCTGATCCTGTTCTTCTCAGTCCCTCTCCCTGCTCTGTCCACACCTCACATATGCTTTCTTCAAGACAGCTGAATTACCTGGACACCAACCATATTACAGTGCAATTTTCAAAAGCACTAAAATGCTTTTCCACCATTTCCAATTGTATCCAATGTACACAATGCTTCAACAAGACAAAACCCAACCAAACTATTCTTACTGTAGGTATGTCAATAAAAAGCATCAGGAAGACATGTCTCCGTCCCCAAGAAATAATGGATCAATGGAATATTACTTTCACAACAGGAAGCTAAAGGGATGATCTGTCCCTAATTAAGAAATATTTTTAGTTTTTAAACAATAAAAGTGTTCACCAACAAAACAGAATGAATTAAAAGGCTGAACTAAAAAGAAAAAAAATATGTCTGGGATTTGCCAAACTTCATGATCAAAGTTTGGTAACAACAAATACGTTTCTGGGGTTCGAAACCTTAGTAATCAAAGAATATAGCATTTGGATTAAATGTGGACTCAAGGAAAAAAAAAAAACAAACCAAAACAAAACACAAGGAGAATTAAAAAACTCCAACACATTCAAGATGCTAGAGAGCAAAGAGGGTTCAAGTTAGTTTGTGGAAATAGAAGCAGATTAAATATCTAGAAATAGTTTAATGAGCCACTATATACATGTGGAAGTGTTTCTATTAAATATTTATCTTTAACCACAAGCCAACTTCTGCAATGTGTGTACCCTGCTTCTGGTTGGTTATGTAAATAATCTTTTGATGCTTCTTGGACTGTAATTTGCTGGAGGTGGGGAGGGGTATAAGATTCCAAGTTCATCTTCATGCTGTTTTAAAACCCTAACCTTCAAGCAAGAGCTTGATCTATGGGAAACAGCTGCAAAAAAGTAAATCTCCCTTTGAAAAAGTCCAGAATGTATTTTTGTTAAGTATGTTTTGAAGTCATGGTAGGAAAATTAGTGAAAATTGTAAATCTGCTTGCAAATCTGGTCGTGTCTAACTCAAAGATTAGGGGAAAGATTCCAATTTAATAGTAAGACCATGACAACCCTAGTTAAGCATGCTCTAGGACAGAGCAGATGGGGCCCTCTGCTCACCTCCACGCGTTTTGGATTTATTGCATGCACCCAACACGTTTCATATTAGACACCCCTTGACTGTGTACTTGAGACAGCAGGGTTCAGTATGCACTTCCTCTGCAGACCAATATATTATTCTAAATTGAGCTAAAGTGTTTCCGTTTCATGAGTGATATAAAGTTCAGATTTGAGTTTTTAGGCAGCAGATTTGCAGTCATTCAGCAGATCGATCTTCTTCATATTAGGAAAAGTAAACCTTAAAAAAACCCAAAACTGTCTTACTGAAGGTAAATTTAGATTTTGTTTAAGTTTTGTTTAAACAAAATACATTTATATTCTTGTAATAGCTTACTTGAAGGATAGATTTAATCACCTCAAGTTTAGTACTAACATACATTTAAGTTACAGCTTATGATTTCATCTGAAGAGGACTGCTGAGAATGCAGGTGTAAATTTACATTTTACGATTGCATTTAAGATGCTAAAATACACTCCCCATCTTTTTGTTATTTTGATACACCCATTGATCAGAGTTTACAAGTTACACATTACTATTAGGAATATCAAGTTACCACATTTTCATATGTAAGATCTGTGTATACAATATTAGGAAATAGTTGGGGTATTACAGACACAGGAATTGACAGGGTTTGACTTTTTAATTATAAGCAACATACTGAATTTGATGTTCCAGTATTTTACAACACTTATATGAAGCAGTAAGTACTACACCATGAAAAAAATGACCTACAGAATGGCTACGTTTTTTGCTAGAGCTGGATGAGTCAATGGTAGTCAGAAATAGTACAAGGTCCTACCAGTCAGTCCCTGTACATCAACAGCTACTACTAGCTGCAGGTACTCTTATCTTAACGTTCCACTTTTTAGATGCCTTGCATACTGCTGCCATTGCTTTTAGAATAATGCCAGCAAGAAGATTCTGCTAACTGAAATGAGTTTCTAGAGTGCATGATGTATAAAGGCACAAAATAAATTAATCTAAAATTGGCTTCTTTACTGTCAAGTTACTTTTTATACAAAGTCTTCGTATTTTATCTTTGAGATGGCATCCTCAAGATGCCTCCTCTTAAAAGTCAGTTTTAAAAAAATCTTAACAGTAAAAAGCACCCTAAAACTGTATACACGCATTTATATTGTCTTTCACTTAAAGAGAAAATTATAAAGGTAGTTCTGCTGTGCATAGAAGCCTAATAAAAGGGTCAGTTTGAGAATACTCTTTCAGATTGTATAAAATGAGAATTTTTTTAAAGTAGTTGAGAAAAAAATACAAAGGCTATGAAAACGCAGAAGCGATTATCAAACACCTGGCCTACAGAGCTCAAATCTGTACCTCTCCACAAAGTATTAGTAAGAAAGTGATTTACACATCATCTTCAAAAGACTGTTTAATATATTGTTTCCATCTAAACATGATCATGACATTATGTGTTAAATAAACTAACTTTCTGACCCACCCTTCATATAGCATCTCTGATAATACTTTGGTTACTGTATATATAAATTCCATCGGGGAATAAAAAATGTCCTCATGATCTGGTAACTCTGTCAACCACAATCTACAGTATTTTACAATAAAAATACTTACGTTAGACCCCTTCTTTTATTACTTGCCTTCTGAACCTGCTGCCCAGCAAAGACGTGTATGCACAGACTTTCCAGTCAGGAAGGATTAGGTAAGTTTACTTGATGCCCAAACTGCTATTGCACAAAAATGGATTAATAATTCCACTTTTAGGAATATTTAGCTGCCACTAAACTACACTTTCATAGAAGAAATGTCTCAGTTTCCCTCCAGGCTACTAGTCTGTATCATCACAAATGCAGACAAAGGATGCTCATCCACAACACTGTGCCAAAGGATCTCACATCTTAACACTTGATCTCCAAGCATACTTAAGAGCACAGACAGTCCAGTTCTTTCACACAAGATACTTCATTGATGAGAGTGCACAGGATATGACAGGGTAACTAAGAACAAGGAATGGCATATGTTTTTTAAGATTGCCCACAAATTAATTGCTTGTAGTAAGTAAATTGTTTCTGTATTTGTTGAAAGATAAAAAGTAAAAGGTAAAAGTGAAAAAACTGTTCAACCCAACAAGTTGGGAGTGTGACAGGTCATTCTAGGGACATTCCATGGTGTCTACCTTCCAAGTCACAAACACATACATAGGGAACACTGCAAGTGCTCTCACTCTTTGAAGATGATGTCTGTCAAGCCAAGTCACTAAATAGGCAAACACAGTGATGTCAGAAGCATTGTTCATGTTTTGAATTGTGTGAACTGTAACTAAATTTGTTTAAGAAAAAAGATAACTAAAGAAACACAAGCCAAAAGAGAAAATAACAGATTTTGTGTCAACAAACCTTAGCCACAGTTCTTGCCATGTTTCTATCAATGGAAAAATGTTAGTGTGTGAGCTCAGCTGCTCAAGTAAATGAACTCAATTTAATTTTCTTTTTTTAATCCTCTACATTTGAGACATTGACATTCACTCTTGTAGTATGACAGCTCTGTTCATTATCATTGTAGTATAATCCCACTACTAGAAAATAGTATGTTTGAATATACACATGGAAAAGTGTAGCAGGAGAGAAGTGCCACGTCTAAAACTGGTGACCAATAAAATATCCACAGATTGGCATAATGGTTGAAGCTTCAAAAACCACAGAAGACTGCTACAGTCACAGCTTACATAATATGTAGTCACTCTATAGGCCAAACTCAAGAACAAGAAATTTTTTTGTTGAACATAACAGATGCAGATGCTCACAGTTACTCAATAAAACTGCATTAAGAATAGAAAAAGGAATCAGCATCTACAAATACAAGGATGGGATGGATATAATTTCTCACATGGTCTGGGGAAATTCTGCTTGTGGCCTGAAGCTGGACTTGGATTAGCAATTCTGACTGCACAAGACAGGAAAGGCTCAAAAAAATATTTCCTTTCCTAGCTGCTAAGTGAAAGAAAAATTAGGAAAAAAAAGTTCCCCAAAATCCACCAGAAGTAATGGTACACTAGCCAGATCTCATGTCTTTCTAAATAAGGAAAGTCCTAACTGAAAGGAAGGTGTGATGATGTATATTAAAATGAGCGTCATTTTCTCTGTTTTCAACAGAAAGTTCACCTTCTTAGCACTTGAAAATTACCAAGCATCAAGTAGAAGTCTCCTTGGTGAAGCGGTATTGCTAATCCAGGTGTCTCGATGTCCCATGCTACCTTCAAGCCTACGTGCCAAACAGCTGGGTCTCTTCCCTTCAGTTTTTGTTCATTACTTTCTTCCACAGCTGAACCTTTAAAGAGAAAGAGGGAAAAGCACCACAAAGACAACAGACAAGGTGAGAGCCATAAAATACAAAGTTTGGTCTAACAATACAGGCCTTATGATATCTCACATTGGTACGGTCCTAACAGGCTTAAACTTTCCATAATCTCCATCAGTATCTTCAAATTCATAACAGGTTAAAAAAAAGCGCCAAGAGATCAAGAATTTTTTGCAACCAACTTTACTAAGATGAAAACTTCTTGTTACCTACAAAGTAAAGACAGTTCAAGGCAAAGTCTGTAATGGACTCAAGTTTCTCTGAAGATCTCAAGTACACATAATGGGAGTTTTAATCTTAACTTTTTTTTTTTTTTAACATTACTAAAACTGTAGGCATAGGAGAAAAAAGAAAAAAATGCAGCAACACTGATATAAAAAGAGATAACTTCTGAAAGAATTTCAAGTCAAACTGCCAAAAAAATTGATGAACAATTTCATTTGTTTACATACTTGCAATTTCACCAAATCATAAACTGAGGCAAAGTAAGGTGAAATAATGGTCACAAAACACAATCTAGACTGACAAAGTTGATCAAATCTTGGAATCATATCTGTCATTCTTTTCTCAAAATTATTAGTCAAACATGCTAGATGACATGTGCAAGAGCCCACGAAGCTTCAATACATTTGTCACAACATTTTTCTTATCATTAAGCAACATGAATGTGTTGAGCTTGGGAAAAAAATAATCCATTGCAGAGAAACAGTATTTAGAGCTTAATCCCTCAGAACTATTTTCATAAGCTTACTTCACTGCAGTATAAATTGAAAGATACAGTCAGCATTTCTAACAAGGTATTTGGGAGCTATGGCATAACAGTTTTATGGCTAAAGTAACAGAGTATTTTGACAGAGGGAGGATGAAGTTCTAATAAGCAGTTGGCACAGAACAGCAGTGAACAGTCAGAAGTCATCAACTATGCAGCATGCCTCCTTATTGCTTGTAAATTAGTGAGTGTGTGTGTCCATTTCACTGTCCATTTCAAATGTACTTTCATGTAATAATTTTTAATTTTTTGTCTTCATTTAATTCTAGAATAAAAAAATACTAAAATAAACATTTATAACTCTTACTATAATATGCACACATAAAAAGTGACCTTGAACTCACACTTTCAAAATATTCAAGTCATTCATTTCACATGATGGCTGCAGTGTTTCTTTAGTTGGGAGTAGCCTTTAATAATTAATAAATTGTCTTAATTTTCTATGTCAATTAAATATTCCCTAAATTCAGGAATCAGAGAGTCAAAACAGTCAAACAGTCAATCAGAGAGCCAAAACAGGCAGTCTGAAGTTCTTGGGTAAAACTCCTACTGTAAATTCAATCCCCATATTCCTCCCCTCCACTGCTGCAGTTCTCATCCAGCTGAAGCTTTGGCTCAGGAGCAGCTCTCGGCCTTTCTATCAAGGAGCATACAAATGAGAAAACAAGAGCTAGCAAATACTCTGAAAAATCAATACTAAAGTCTTCAAGGGGCTTTCATATTTTCTGCCCTGTTCAGATAAATCGTAACTTAATTTAAGAAAAATGTTTTCTGAAAACTGCAAATAGGATGGCTTTCAAGGCATTTTTAATGCAATACATCATGGATATTATAAAAAGAGGTAACCTTTCTGGGTTAATTCTCTCTGCTATGCTGCTTTCCCATTCACTTTGGCAGCAGCACTGTTCACAATATGGCACCAATAAAATATAGAACTACAATCAGAGACAGCAATTTCAATCAAAGTTTCCTGGGGTCTCCTCATAAATCCAGCACCTTTGGAATGTGCTCGTTAAAATGACTTATTTTTTGCAGTTTGATAAATTTTTTATTGCTTAAGTACAGAGTTCAAATGTAGCTCACAGTCTCCTTTTCTCTATATTCTCAATTATTGCACCTTATAATTATCAGCAGCAATTGAAACTGATTGCTTCTGCCATGTTATTTTGGTAACAAATAGAAGCAAGCTGCTACTCGCTTTTAAATGCAAGCTATTCTGAAAGTGAGAGCAAGAATTAAAAAAAAAGACAACATTTATGGTATCTCCCTAGGTAGCACTGACAAACTTTTACATAAAAAGAAGTTATTAAATTCTGTATGTCACACCTCAAGCATGACTGAATGCTGTACATTCACTGACATAATTACAGTTCCCACTTAAGTGAAAGCATTTGGATGCGTCTAAACCATAGGTATTTGAGAGCAAATCTCATTGATCTTGCACATACACGGCACCTTAAGAACACATTTATTTTGGAGTAGACCATACAGAGTCAGATGTAGCAGTATTTAATGGAAATATAATAAAACTATCTTCAAATTTTAGTTCTGTTCATTAAAGATTATAGAATTTGGCAAACAAGAAACCTTTACACTTGTATCCCAAATGAAATGGTGCAATCAGGTAACAAGCTTACCAGAACATAACAACAATATCTCAAAGCTCTAATTAAGGTAGAACCATGACAGAGAGACTGCAGCTGCATAAAATTGGCCACAACATTATGTTTCTAACTAGACAGCTCAAATTGCAGAGATGTTCCAGCTCTAGACCCAATCTTATCAGGTTTGGGTCATGGTTAAGTTCAGAAGAACGTGAAACTTGTTTTCCTGGATCTACTTTGGTTATTGTTCCACAGCACAGAAAGTAAAAGTAGCCTTGAAAGGTTTCTTTGCTATTCAGCACCAGCATCTTCAAGAAGAGTTTGAGAGTTTTTTGGCAGTCTGAAACCTACATGTTCTCTATTCAAGTCAAACTGTAATGCCAAACTATATCCTAAATGTAATGGTAAATCAAACATGATTTCTTAGATGACAAAATCACTGCCAACACACTGCTAAAAAAAAAGTAGGACTGTAAACATCTACTTTGTCATTAAATCCAGTTGACCACTGCTATATAGATAAAGAAAAAAAAATATTTCTTTTACAAACTGACCGATTTTTCCAGAATGAAAAGAATTTGGGCATGTGTTCAGCAATTAATGAAATATATATATTATTACTGTCTTCCATAGCAATTTATATATATTATACAGAAAAAGTGGAAAAAGCAGAGCATGCTTTTGCTTTTCAGCAGCTGGTGGGAAAGAATGGATATCTACCCAGAGTTAATTCTTCTGCCTTATTACTGAAAAGCCATAGCATGAGGTCAATTAAACTGTACTCACATTTTAACTTTTGCTTGCAACTGACATTCAGAAAAACAAAAAATTTTTGTTTTGCCAATATATTCTTATCAATTCACATGTGGAATACTGCATCAAAATATATCAAGAACAAAAGCACTAAAATAAGAACAAAGAATATTCTGTCATCCCTTCACTCTTAAAGGAGAGACTTTATATGATAAGGGCATGGTTAAAAAAAGAAAAAAAAAAGAAACAAAACCCCACAACAGTTTTAATTCAAATGATGATTTCTTTTTAGAAAACAGGGATTCAAATCTGTTATAAGAGTAATTGGATCATTAAAAATTTGTGATTCTCCCACAAAATAATTCCAACTGTCCTGAACCTACAAGTTACAGATGTGACCATTTCATTCACATACTTATTTCTTAAGAAGTAATGTACTTTTCTACATACATGTTCTTTTCTATTCTTTCAACAAGCAACATTTCAACTACATTACTGACATCAGAAATCATTTAATATAATTTTCTCATCCTGTACAAATGTCTACTCCATGACTTTTATCAATTAAGCAAGACATAAAGAGGATTAATGGTCAACTACAAATTTAGATTTACTTCAATTCTGAACAACTTTTGTAGTTTCAGGATGTTTATATAACCTAGTGAGGAAACATGCTTCTCTAGTGAATCTCAATTATTTTCATTCACAGTTACTGTAGAAATGAAGTAGCCAGTCATTAGTTTTAGTGCTAGGACATTGCTTCTAACATCACAGTGTGAAAAAGTACAAACAGCATTTTACAAAAGAAACAAGCATAAAAACCCCTTCAAGGTCAGTCATTACTGCAACTAAGTTTGTTAAATCTTTACACATTACCTTGTCAGTGAACAGAGCCACTTATTTAGTACTTCAACAGATTTAAACAGCCAGTAGACCTTGCAGAAGAAGACAAACAAGATACTGTAAAGAATCGAGAGAAAACTAGTTACCTAACCTCAAACATAGTTTGTGGGAAGTCCAGGTAAGAGACAGATGAACACTTCCAGTGACTACATTATTTTCCAGCTTACTTTAAGTTGGTAACTGAAACAAGCCTACATCAAAGAACATCTTTAGAACCAACTAGTGCTCTGCGAAGCAATAAAACTTCTACAAAACTTACAAAGACCTGAGGGAAAACTGTTCATTAGGAAATTTTAATGGATAAAATTCAATTTTTGAAAATGCCCTTATACCACCAGTATTTGGATTGCAATTCACTTTTATAAATAGAGCAGGAAATAAAAAAGGGTTATTAGCCTACCATATTAAAATCCTGAACACGTTTTTACCTTAGTGCTCTCATGTGATAGGATATTTCTAACGTAAGCTAACATGTTATTAAAAATCCTGAATTGGTCAAAATTTGAAATTCCTGTTAAATTCTGAAAAATAAATTAATTCCGAATACTGTTAGTAACACTATAATTGAACACATATTCTGTAATGTATTCAGTTCTACATATGCACCACGACTACCACTCATGCACTTTCATGCAGTATACATGTTAAAAGGAAATGTCCCAAATTTTTGATAACCTACTTTTAACCTAATGTAATGCATTTCATTTTAATGTAAATAAAAGCAAATACTATTCAGATAAGCATTAATCAAAATGCCTATCTTATTTTCTGGCTAGAAAAGTACCTCATTTGAAGTTGCTTTGAAACAGTTTGACACTGGAAACAAGAAAATAAACAGTGATACTAATTAGAATATGAGCTTGTTCCAATATCTTTGTGTTGGCTCTCAAATTTCTTTTCTGGCATATTATAAAAACTGCTTCTATTCCAATTAATACTGATCAAAGTTTCTAACATTAAATTTTCATTATGGCATCAAACACTGAACAAGTGAACAAGAAAATAAAGTTCTTTCAATTACAGCAGTACCTGTTTTAATACTATTTAATCAAATAAGTAGGTACCAAACAAATAACGATATAAAAACACAAATTAAAGTAAAAAGAAAACCAAATAACTCGAGTTGTTAATCTCTAAACAGTCTGACAAACAGCTGCCACAATGCAGGAAGAATGCTTGACTCCTAGGGCTCCTGCTGTTCAAAATGTGAGAACCTGGGGATTCTGCCTTGGTGGCAGGACAGATTGGTACATTGGCCATGAAGCTCAGGAAGACCACAGCTTCCCCACGCTAAGGGGCTGCCACAGATCCTCAGCATTTGGAGTACCACAGACACCAGTGAGAATCTGAGGAATAGAGTGCTGACAAAAAATGTGCAAGACCTAGCAGAAAAAAAGAATCAATCCAATTTCAACAAAAATCAACATGCTTAATTTATGTTTGAGTTTCCCACAGAATCAGTGTTTTCTCCCAGAAAATTACTAATCCATCTAATTGACATCTTCTAAGGAAAAAATGTTCCATCAAAAAATATATCTTTTTATTATGTATTCTATAATGATATTCTTTATACACTACAGTGAGAATCCAATGCTAACTTAATACTAAATGAATTAATGGAGTAACTACTGAAAATAACACACTGGTGTAAAAAGCAAATATATTAATGGAAAATGGGAAGAGGAGTCAAGATACGATTCTACAAATATTTAACAACAATCTTCAAAAAGATGTGGAGCTTCTTCATGCTTCACAGTTATGGAGAGCTTGGCAAGAGATACAGTAAATATTGACA